TTATATAGTATCTATATCCTCAGAATGGACTGTTGTCATGTAGTATGTGTCTCCTCAGGATGGACAGTTGTTATATAGTATCTATATCCTCAGAATGGACTGTTGTCATGTAGTATGTGTCTCCTCAGGATGGACAGTTGTTATATAGTATCTGTATCCTCAGGATGGACTGTTGTTATATAGTATCTGTTTTTTCAGTATGGACTGTTGTCATGTAGTATGTGTCTCCTCAGGATGGACAGTTGTCATGTAGTATGTGTCTCCTCAGGATGGACAGTTGTTATATAATATCTGTATCCTCAGGATGGACTGTTGTTATATAGTATCTGTTTCTTCAGGATGGACTGTTGTCATGTAGTATGTGTCTCCTCAGAATGGACTGTTGTCATGTAGTATGTGTCTCCTCAGGATGGACAGTTGTTATATAGTATCTGTATCCTCAGGATGGACAGTTGTTATATAGTATCTGTATCCTCAGGATGGACTGTTGTTATATAGTATCTGTTTCTTCAGGATGGACTGTTGTCATGTAGTATGTGTCTCCTCAGGATGGACAGTTGTCATAAGTGTGTTGGAGGATTCATGTAAATCCTAGTAAAGTATAGGGTCATTTTTGTCTAAGGTGAACTGTAGACCTTTTTTATTAAAGTATTTCTTCTGCTTATATTCGCTATTCGACATTTTACCTCTGACTGCCATAGGAGAAGATCAACGTAATGAAAGTAATTAAGTTGGCTGTCTTCATTGATTATCAGGCAGGTGGCAGCACTGCCTACGTAGGGATGGCTCGGATTGTTCATCGAAATGGGATTATAAATATCTCCTTAACAGGTCATCAAAACTTTACAATACTATACAGTGTTTTCTTTTATAACGATATATATGTAATTATTGAGTCACAAGTTCTAGGAATGTCTGTAAATATCATAGGAAAAAGTTATTCTTTCTTCTGTTTCTTTTGCATTACAAGATAACACAACAACCAAAACAATTGTGTTAAGCAATTTCACTGAGGTGACGTAGTTTCAAACAGAATATCCGCTTTTATAAGTATTATTGATAATTAGTAGCAATTTAAAAAATGGCCATAATTCTAGTATAAACGAAATTATCATTACCCCTTGAAGTTACCTTTCTTACAGAAATTTAGTGTTCCTTTAAAAAGCTTAAGTACAGGAATTGCCAGCCAATAAATGTTACAGTTGGAACCTCATTGTATTTAGAACTTGGTTATAAATACAACCTTCCTATGTCTATTGAAACACTGCATTAAAAAAAACAACAAGCAAACACGTAAAGAAAAAACTTTTCATGAAACGAAGTAAAGGTAAGGATGGCTAATAGCAGTCCTTCAAAAACAATACGAACAAGATAGTAGGGATGGCATTTTCATCATCCCTTATTAATAGCACAGGCACACTGTGTAGTGGAATATCAATAGACGAAAATGGTGCAAATACCATCCCTACTATCTTGTTTACATTGTTTTCGAAGGACTGAGATTAGACATTTACTTCCTTTTTTTGAAAAGTTTTTTCTTTACTTGTACTTCTGGTGTTGATTCATAGTAAACAACATGTAATGTATTTTCAAATAATGATAAGTTATTTTCTCCTAAACTAAACCTTTAACGCAATACAACTACAGTTTATATATATATATATCTTACTAATGTTTTTGTACTTTACCTACGATTTGCCCCTCATTGGTAAATCTGTAGGTTTATAACGCTAACAACCGGGTTTCAATACCCGTGGTGAGCACAACACAGCTAGTCTATAGTGTAGAATTGTACTTTTGTTTCTCTCCCCCCACCAATGACTCAGCGGTAAGTTGGAAGGCTTATAATACTAAAAATATCGGGTTTCGATACCTGTGGTGGGCACGGCACAGATGGCCCATTGTGGAACTTTGTGCTTAACAATAAACAAACAAACATACAATTTACGTAACTGTTACCTCATATTTGCAGACGGAAATGACGTAACACCCCCGTCTCAAAATAGCTTTGACCTATATTTCCGATCAATCCACCTGTTAATTATCGATCTCTTATTAACTACTTAATTATTAGATATTTATAGTATTGCTTATATGTGGTGAGACTTTATTTGATTAATTTGTACCAAAAAAAAAATGTATATTTTTTTGTCGATAGATTTCCCTTCAAAATCCATTTTTCTATTCAACATACTTGCGGAATGAAGCTGAAGAAAATATATTATAGCAATTCGGATGAAGATGAAGGAAAAAAAACAAACTCGAAACATGTGATTACTTCTATTTAGTCTTAGTTTTAGAAAGAAATATAAAAAATATAATTAATACATTAAAAGCACGTTTTTCATTAGCTTTAGTTTTACTTGTAGTTTTCCTTGAACTAATTAAACGTCCCTCGGTGGAACAGCGGTAAGTTCACGGACTTACAATGCTAAAATCCGGAGTTCGATTCCACGCGGTAGACACTGCAGATATCTTAATGTGGCTTTGCTAAAAACAACAACAAACAACCAACAAACTTACTTGTAAGTCCTACACGAAATCTTTTATAATTGTAGCGGATTTTTATTGTATTCGGCTAAGTCACAAGATGAAGACTTTTATATCTGCAGAATAACAGCAAAATTCAAAACAATTGAAGCAAATAATCGTCACCGAGCGTACAATATTTGGGAGGAAGAGGTCATCGCTGAATCTGACCTTCCCGACCGGACCTTCTGGACCGAATCCCGACGCAAGATAATCATCCCAGTTGTACTTTCCAAGATATTAGGAACAAAAGAAAAAAGCGATAAGGCTTTGTATATAATCAATTTAGTTTGGGGGACTTAGGACTAACTTATCTCTTAAGCTGGACAAATCTCGAGAGATATTAGTAGGATTATCACTGAAAATATCGTTATCAGTAACAGCACTTACCTGAGGATTCGGTACAATCAGATTCAGTATCAAATTTAGTACGGTATATGTTATTCTAAATTATTGTAGCTGCCACGATTCATATAATTACCTTACTTTGGACGTTTTGTTATAAGTTTTTAACGATACCCTCAAACACAGTTTCTACCTGAGTTAATTTCTCATAGCCTCCAAACTTTTTGTAAAACCCTGATATACAATGTGACACTTCAATAAGCCTAGGTAGCCTCTAAAAATAAATCTAAATTATTTCAGAACAAAGAATTGTGGTGTTAAATAAGACTCACGATAACACTATAAAAATGGAAGTGCAGAGTGTTGCCACAATACTTTCTTATTTGATAGCCGATCAATGGTTATATATCATTGGTATTATCACTAAACATTCGAATAATTTATGTAGGATTTCGGCATCAGATTTTAAATTCTTGAAAAATGTTATCGTTTCAGATTCCATGAAGAGGGCGGCTACTTTCATTTTTATGAGTTCCATAACCCTTCTCACCGGTGAAATGTTTTGTTTCTGCGGTCATGTGATCAGAAGACGACGTATTTTTACTTTCGCTGGAGGTGTTGCCTTTATTTTATCAGGTATGTTAGCATAATTTCTGTTACAGGTCTTATGTACAAAGGAACGATCTTTACATCAATGATGTAGTCTGATAGGGTTAGAAACGTACATTAAAATCCAGTTTCATAAAAAGAAAAATTACAAAAATTTGCAGCATAAGTAGTATCGAAGTAGTAGTAGTTAGTCTGTTTGTTTGTTAAATTTCGCGCAAAGATACTCGAGGGTTATCTGCGCTAACAGTCCCTAATTTAACAATGTAAGACTAGAGGGAAGGCAGCTAGTCAACACCACCTATCGCCAACTCTTGGGCTACTCCTTACTAACGAAAAGTGGAATTCACCGTTACATTATAACGCCCCTACGGCTGAAAAAGCTAGCATGTTCGGTGAGGAGCTATATGCACTAAATTTTCAACTGCTAGACTAGAAGAAATGTCGTTAGTCAACAATACCTACCGTCAACTCTTGGACTACTCCTTACTAACGAAAAGTGGAATTCACCGTTACATTATAACGCCCCTACGGCTGAAAAAGCTAGCATGTTCGGTGAGGAGCTATATGCA